TCGAATGACCATTCGTTGAGAAAGCTTTTTATTGCAATTACAATTGATACTAAATGTTAAAATAATTGCTACGAAAAGGTTATTTTCTTGTAGTGTAAACGACCTATTTACCGGTTTATAACTTGCACTGATTTCATTAACTCAAGTCTACCACGAACATTTAAGACAACAAATAATGATCATATATGGTTCCAAACGACATTATATGACCCCGAGATGTATCCCCTAGAATTTCAACACTTTTCGACATCGGGCCCCAAATCCTCCAAAATTTCTCTAAAAGCGTGGATATTAGCCTTCAATTTTGAAAATTTTGACTTTTTTTCTTTTGGAAATAAAAATTTCCGAACTGATTACTATGGTCCCTAATACCGTCCGGGAGTCCCATTTGGTGGGTGGAACCATCCAATTTGCCTTTAAATGACCAATTTACTGGTTTACAACTTACACATATTTCATCAACTCAAGCCTATCACGAACATTTATGACAACAAATAATGATCATATATGGTTCCAAACGACATTTTATGACCCTGAGATGTATCCCCTAGAATTTCAAGACTTTTTGACACTGGGCCCCGAAACATCCAAAATTTCTCAAAAAGCGAGAATATTAGTCTTCAATTTTGGAATTTTTTGACTTTTTTTCGCCCGGAAAAAAAAATTTCCAAAATGTTTACTATGATCCCTAATACCCTCCGGGAGTCCAATTAGGTTGGTGGGCATCCAATATGCCTTTAAACGATCAATTTATCGGTTTACAACTTGCACGGATTTCTTTAACTCAAGCCTACTATGAACATTTATGACAACATATAATGATCATATATGGTTCCAAACGGAATTATATGACCCCGAGATGTATCCCTAAAATATTAATACTTTTCTACACCGGGCCCCGAAACCTCCAAAATTTCTCAAAAAGCGTGGATATTAGTCTTCAATTTTGGAATTTTTTGACTTTTTACGCCCGGAAATCAATATTGACGAAATATTTACCATTATCCCTAATACCCTCCGGAGTCCAATTGGGTGTGTGGAACCATCTAATTTGCTTTTAAACGGCCAATTTACCGGCTTACAAGTTGCACCGATTTATCGGTTTACAACGGCCAATTTAATTAACTTGCACCGAACCTGGCTTGAACCGAAATTAACCCAAACCCGTTTTAATCATGTCAAAACCCGAATGTAACCCTACTTGTTATTAACATGACCTAAATTTAACACGACTTGTTCCTAACCCGACCCGAATTTAACCCGACCTGTTACAAACCCTATCCGAAATCAACGTGACTTGTTATTTACCTGACCCAAATTCAACCCGACTTGTTATTGACCCGACACGAATTTAACCCAACCTGTTACAAACCCTATCCGAAATAAACCCGACTTGTTATTTACCTGACCCAAATTCAACCCGACTTGTTATTGACCCGACCCGAATTTTACCAGACCTATTACATACCCGACCCAAAAATTCAAGCCGGTCTGTTATTAACCCGACTCGAAATTAACACGACTTGTTATTGACCCGACCTAAATTCAACCTAAATTGTTCCTGACCTGATTTCAAATCACCTTAAATGCAATTTAGACCACCTTATTATTGTTGATTAAAGCATTTTGTCTAGGGAGACCAAGTCGGTCCAGGCCAGCAAAAGAAAGGAGCATCATCCTTAAATTTAAGAGTTAAATATAATATATATTTGTTGTATGGTCAAAGGAGATAATTTTCTTTCTAAATTATAGACTATAGATCCCGGCCTATATTGCCATATATATCATAGTCAAAGGAAATAATTAGCTTGATAAAAATGTTAATTATCTATTTATAGTTAGTTGAACCCGAATATTACCTGACTTGGAAATGACCCGACTTGATTGTAACCTGTAAATTATTGACTTGAACATAACCGGACTAGAATCCGAGAATGACCCGACTTGGAAATGACCCAACCTGATTATAACCCGCAAATTATTGACTTGATCCGAACCCGACTTGAACCCAAGAATGACCCGACCTGATTATAATCCACAAATTATTGACTTGAACCGAACTCGACTCAAACCTGAGAATGACCCAACTTGATTCTAACCCGCAAATTATTGACTTGAATCGAACCCGACTCAAACTCGAGAATTACCCTAACCCGCTTTAACCCGAATTAAACCTGACCTATTGTTCACCCGACCCGAATGTAACCCGACCTAATTCCGATCCAAACCCAATAAGAAGTATAACCCGACGTAACCCGACTCAAGCATGACTCAACCCTAACCCGACCCGCATAGGTTATGGAATTACTCTAAATTGACCCGACCCGAGTTGACCGACCCACTCTTACCCGACCCAAACCCGACTCATTTACCGGAATTGACAGCTCTAATTATACTAATGGAAAATTAATAAAGTTTGATCGCAAAAGTTTAATACTTAATACATACTCCATGAACGATGACACATGTACTTACCATGGCGTCCATGAGTATACAAGTAGAACATTCCTTATATAATTACAGTTAAATCCATAATCATAACCATAATTACGGAGTTTAATTGTAGAACAGTGAATGGCAAGGACAATTGCTGCAGCATCATACAAAACGAATGCGAAAGGATTAAAGAAGCAGCAACAAACCAACAATAACAAATTAACAACAAGAACATGTTTATGGCATTATATGTCCGTCCAAAGAAAAAATCCAATTTAACACGTTGTATTATTTGTGCCTGAACTTTATTTTACTAGCACCATCACTAGATCTGATCTAGCAAATGTGTTGGTCCATTATGAATTAAACAAAGCATGTGAATTGCTAGTAAAATACATTACTTCTTACACCAAGTTACATTAGTATAATCTGTTAGAAGTTTGAACAACATTAGCCTGCATTTAGTGATGCCCTTCGTGTCTAACAGAAGTGCCACAATGGTATCCGTTGATGAAAAGCTCAGTCTGCCTTCTGAGGCACCTGTATTCCGGACATCAAAATCTTACACTCTTTCTTTATGAATACCTGAAAATTTTGACTCGTACTTTTCAGTAAAATTACATGTGAACGAGGGTTTAACACTATCAAGGTGTAGGTAAATGGCCAGAGCCATATCAACAGCAAAGCCATTCATTCTTTTTAGCCATATCATGAGCGTGTAATCATGAGCATCATTTAATTCTGTATAAATAATGATGTATCAGATAAATCACAGTTCTTTTTAAGCTCTTCCATTAATCCATTATACGAGTAAATCAGTAATATGCCGCTTGTAGTCTTACTACCCAATCTGCTTCCTCATACATCGATCTGAGAAGGTGCCTAAAAGTTCACAGCATGCAGTGATGCAGACCTTCTGACCCCATTTCCTAACCTTTCAATTATGGGTCATTCTGGCACAATGGTACCTAATGAACAAGCCTGAATTAGTACAGGCAGTAATACGTACGCAGTCAGAAGAACAAACATCTTCCTGAAGATAACATCATCAACATGACACGAAAAGGATGAGTTTGAAATTCATCTGGTGATACACAATTGATGTTTAGCAGGGAAGTTCGTTCCATGTGTTCATATCTAATAGCATCTTGAATCTTGATGCCAAAATTTAGTGTACGTTTCACTAGAAAGAAACGTAGGTTGGGTAGCTTCTGCTATCCTCCTACACAGAAATCAAAACAAGTTCAAGGCTTCCCTTATTCTCGATCACAATTACAAAGTCAGCCATTCCTTACCATGATATGCAGGAATAGTTTGCTATTCTACACTCAGACAATCAACTACCAATTTAAAGACAATATAAGCTCTTTACATTGACTTGAAAACTGAGAAGACAACATATAAACACCAACTAAATACATATATACTCTGACTAACAACACTGGCTCTATTCCATTCATAATCGTCACACTGTCCCAACCTCTCTAATCAATCACGGCCATTTCACTAATACTCCATTATTAATTATTCCCTTCTCACCCTCTCTCAAGCTTTACAAATGTTTGCATCAAACCAAAATCAATCTCTTTTTGATGATATTTTACCAATCTTTTAAGATATCCTAAAATAGTATATGCGACTATTATTTTCAGATAGGACAAAAGAAATGTGCAACATTATACCCCATATGAATGTAGATCAATCTAAATCACAATCGATGCAAATTTATAATCTGAACTAGCAATAACCATCATACTCGACTTATTACGGAGTACCATAATATCTATTTCAACAAATTGAACCCTTAATTATGAATCAATATATTACAACACCGTTAAGCATGGTCATAAATTATACAGTTGTACTATAAAATTAACATGAGACTAATGTTTAGCTTAGTATATACTTGTCAAAAAAAAAAAAGCTAGTTGAATTCTTTTTTTTTTTTATATATATATATATTGTATACATATAAAAAAATGCTAGTTGAATTCTTAGATAAACCTGATTCTGCCTATAAATTAGTGAGAACCAGGTTCATTTGAGAATTTGTGATAGTCCAACCGATTACACACACTCAAAAAAAAAAAAAAAAAAAAAAAAAAAAAAAAAAAAAACTTCGATTAGAAGCTTTTTGCGCTTTGTCAAACGAATGAGAATAATTTTTTTTTTTTTTCCTTTATCTTTTTTACGATATTTATTAATTTATTTTATTTTATTTTATTTTATTTTTTGGGGTGGGTGGCCAATGGGGGTGGTTGCTATGGAGACAGCTGCAAACAGCCCATACTTATAACTTTATATTTGTGGCTCACATAATCACATTACGACAAGGAGTTAAATTATGCTTTGAAAAAATATGGCTAAAAATAAAAGCCATCTCCTTCTGGTTTTTTTTTTTTTTTTTTTTTTAATAACCCTAACATAACCTGATCCGAATTAACCCGAAGCGACCTAATCCAAGTTCAATCACCAGGGATTCACCACCAGTAATCCAGTATATACTATATAACCTACTGTGTTTAAAGGAAAGTTACTGAAAAGTGTTTCAGAGTGAAAATTAGTTGAAGTCAGAAATGAATGCTTACTCCAATATTAACTGCTTAAATATATTTACAAGTAGCTACAATGAGCGTAATCAGTTAATCACTGTGATCCCTACCACAATTGTTTTTGTGTTGGATAAGAAGTAAGGAAAATAAATTAAATAATTACATCTCTATGATTCCTCCAGATTAAATATAAATAAAAGTTAAAAAGTCACTCGGAGATAGTGACTCGGCTGTAGGGGTGAGGAAAACAGCCAACAATGGGCCATCTAATATTCCTGGCTGCAAAGCTGCAAGGCCGATCCTGAATGAGGAACTCCAATTGGGGGGTGCGTCATGGAACTGCTAGAAGCGACAATTCAGTTAGTTCATAAATCTAATAACAAATGCTTTGAGACTGATAGCAGTCGATGAGATATAAATTTTAACCTTCTTGGAGGGTTTTATCATGCAACAAAATATCAAAGTTAATTTACCAACCTGAATGAAAGTGACAAGGATGGATCAACTGGAGGAGTCGTTCCATTTCGGCAAGGTGAAAAAAGTGACCAGAAAACTGTATTAAAAAGAAGCACGTCAGTTCTCAGTTGCTCACAGAATCGAGGGAGAGAAGTTTAGGTTCTGAAAACAGTTTAGATTTGGACTTGGGAGACATGAAAATCAGCAAGTGGAACAACCTATTTAAAAATAACAGTTTCTACATCATACAAATATATACATATACGTATTTGATTACCAATTCCCAAAACAATTTTCTCCAAAGCAGGCAATGACAATTTATGGTAAGATTATTGAGGTCATAAGCATAGCCCTAACCTACAGTCATCAGCAGGCAAATCCTTGCAAACTTTCCCAAGTGAAGCAGTTTGAAATATTAATCAAAAGTTTTAGGGACTAATTCCAAAATACAAAAGCTTGAATCACATATCTGCATATGCAAGGACTTGATCATGCAGGAAAGGCGTCTGTGAGCGTGCAGGTAAATTCTACTGTTCTACACTTCTACAAATACTCTAATAGTAGAAATAAATTGTTTCACTGGAGCCAGGAAGTTCCAAGAACATAAGGCTGAAGTTACAATCAACTAATAAAATCTAGTGATTCAAATGCGAATGAATCAACCAGATTGCAAGGAATTATGCAGTTAAATATAATGTGACGTTAGGACAAATGTGAGATACCCATGTAAATTTATTGAAAAACTTAAGAAGCCCTACCAAGTACCAAGAGCCTAGAGGTACCTTTCATCAACAAGCCTAAGTGGAAAAATGGCCACCTAACCAGCATTCTAACATTACGTGTAACACAATGCTTATGCAAAAATTACCTGACTGCTCTGGATGATCCTGGAAATTAGAGCAAAAATAAATATCCTGCAAGGTCAAATATACAACTTTAGATGATTGCCAGAAGGCAGCTAATTTCAAACAAAGTACAACACTTCCAAGTAATTTGCTGAGCATTATGTGCTAACCTGCCGTGTGCTTCCAGATACACTAGGTCCCATCTCTGCACACAACAATGGCATTATTAAGCTTGAAGAAGTAAAATATAAGATTAAGGCTTATTACAGCAAATGTCAAAAAATATATCTTAAACCTACAATTTAACAAACAAGTTTCTCCTCAAGATTATAATTTCAAGGGAAAACAGAATCAAGTGCAGTTGATGGTCAAGCAAACAGTTGTCATTGATTCTCCAAACAGAAAAAAGAGCAAAGAACCTAAAGCACCTTTATTTGTGAGAAAAATCAACAATTTAAGCAAACAACTAGAAAAATCTAGCAATAATCCCATCATTATGCCTCTTAATTCTCCGCTCACACTAGCACACCAAAGCAGAATAGTTTTCAGCAATCTAGTACTCATAGTGACTGCTTCTAAATAAATGGTGATCACAATCAACATAGATCTCTCACCTAATGCTGAAACACCAGGGTTCACAGCCAATGACAGCCCAAGGAAACAATCATCTGGCTTGCTGTCGAAGTCCCACAGGTTCAGGTCAAGGTTTGGCTTTGTTTCTGTTAAGCAAGAAGGGCAATTAAATATCAAAGAATTACTGAATTAGTATAAAGATGGTTCGACATAATATGTGGTGTTAAATGCTTACTCGTATACTCTGGTTTGTTCTGTAAAGGATCATGCATTGGACGAGGGACCCATGAAGCAATCTGCCACATAGCTCAAGTAAAGTTATCAATCAAGCACAGGAAAGACCTTATGAATTTAAACTTGCATTATTACATACATTAAAGAATGGATGCTGCAGCGCCTGCTCTGCTGTTGGCCTCTTAAGTGGATCCCAAGAACACAGTTGCTGAAAATCAAGAAAAAGTGAAATTAATACTGTCATTCACACGCACAATCACGCAAATAACTAGAAAGAATGAACATGGTCATAAATACAAACATTTAACGGGCATAAATATTCTACACAAGGAACACTTACGCTGATAAGATCAACAGCTTCCCAGCTAGCATTTGGGATTATGTCCGCCAGATTCACAGGCAAAATCTAAAGATGTAAGGAAAAAACCACGATTTAGAAGATACAGCAAGTCAGAAATAACACATAATAGGTAGATAACTAGAATATTTCCAACCTGTGAATGACAAATATTGGCCAACTGTGCGTAATTTTTTGCATCCGGAAACACAGACCAATTAGGAGCACCAAGTATACTGCATATTTTGTACAGCTGATCTATTTCACTGTTCATAGATACCATATCAGCATACTATCACCAGATACAGAAATAGACCATAATAGTAAAACAATGCACTTCAATCCAGTCCTCAGATGATATGCATAAACTAGATAAAGCATGACAGCATGTAGGGTATGCATAACATTCACTGCTAAAAAAAAAGAGGTACCCTACCCTTCACAAGCAACCAGGAAAAAGAACTTTAAAACGGAGCTAAATTATGGTCATGTGTCTCGTTGTTAAGTACAAAAGAAAAATGAGTTATTATATATTAAAAGAAATTCAGCTTTTATATGAACCCTTCTCAAACTGGTATTTGAATTTATTCTGGCCATATATAACATCATGTTCTTAAATGTGGTACAAGCCACAAATATTCTGAGATAGGCAACAGGAACATATTATAGGTCATACACATATATTTTGTGATTTTTTGGAATATGTCTATGCAAGTTCGTACTTTCCTCTTTCCAAACTCTCAGACACTAAGAAGTAAGCGGCAGGAGCAGCCATCACTAGGATAAGGTAAAGAACGTAAACCATAACGACATTTAAGTATTTACAATGGTACAAATAAATCAGCAAAAAAATATGCCCCCAAAGAACGTGTCAATCAAAGTTCTATAAATTACTCTAAATAATTATTTCAGCACAGAACACTAAGGCTAAATTAAAACTTACCTTTCTCCAGGGAAAATAGGACACAAGGTAAAAAGTTCAGCCATTACTGCACCAATTGCCCACATATCTGCAACAATACAAAAAAATTTAGCAGCTTGCACGGAAATGGAGAAATGGACTAATAATCATCTAGGACAAAGGAACATAAACAGGTAGTATACACAAAGTGAGTAGAAGAAGAATGCTAGAATTTACATACTACAAGCAGGGATATTATACCAAATAAATAAAGGAAACAATACAGCACTTCATGAAAGACATTATCAAGGCGGTGAAAGACATTATTGATTAATGAAAAAAGGACCGGCACTCAATGAATTAAAAAAAATTAAGAGAACTAACCAATTGCAGGAGTGTAAGTTGAAGACTTTAACAGAACTTCTGGGGCCCGGTACCTGGAAGACAATACAAAAATCTATATGAGATGATGCAGTTGATAGCTTTAGTGCTTAATACGTTATTGAAGATGCAGATGCACATAAGACATGATGATAACTGCAGGAGCTATTTAGTTTATTACATAATTATACTGTATATGCAGAGAATAGACATGACAAAAGGGGAAGAATTTTATACACTCACCAGCGTGTTGAAACATAATCAGTATAAGGAGGCATTGATGAAAGCTCCCTGGCGAGTCCAAAATCAGCAATTTTGATCACATCATTCGTTACCAAAAGATTCTCTTTTATGGCAAATTTCACAAGAAAATTTAAAAGGTTAGAGAGAGAGAAAAAAAAAAAAACAAAGGCACACTTAGAGGACAAACATATTTTATAGTAACTAAATGACTTCTGATGTGCTGATCCCAAGGAATGGCTAAACATCATACCAGGTTTTAGATCTCGATGAAAGTATCCATTCCTATGCATGTGTGCCAGCCCTTGAAGAACCTGAGTCAGGAGGTTTCTTATATCTTCTTCCGAAAAAGGTATCTGTCGTTCCTTCATTAAATGATATAGATTGCATTCCTGAGGTAAATACAGGTTAAAATGGAACCTTCAAAAACAACCCAACAAGCAAAGGCATGGTGTGACTAAACTGGTCACAAGTCTAAAAAAGATACATTGGCATAATCCAGTAGCCTAACTTATTTCCTCAACAGCCGAAACTTAAAAATTATAAAGTCTTTCATCATCTCTATGCAAGAGACAGGACATACTCTACAGCCTCATTCATGCATTGTGTTTTTTGTTAATGATGAGAATAACATTTAGGACATGGAACCAATCTTTAAGAGGCACACGCAGTAAGTTAGTATCTGAATATTACATATGTAACCAAGATTGCAAACAACATGACGCTTAGAAACTTACCATATATTCAAATATAAAAAATAGCTCATTATTAATTTCTCGTACAACTTCTTTCAGCTTTATGATGTTGGGATGACTCATTCTACGGAGAGACTGCAAAAGAAGTATGTAGCTTGTCAGGGCACTATCACAGCATGAAAGTAAATATTGCTACAAACAACGCCTGTAGCATTCAATATTTCAGATTAGCCATGGTAAATGCAAAAAGTACCTTCACTTCCCTCAAATTTACACATTCTTCCCAAAAATAGAACTTCCTCTTCATTTTCTTGACAGCAACCTGTAAATAAAAGGAAAAGTCCATCTATCAATCTGATGAACCAAATCTAACAACCAATTTAAATCCCAGCCATCAATGTATGATATAATAGTACAACAAAATCCAGAAAGAAGCAAATACATAAGAAGCAAAGTATAAAAGATCCAACAAAAGAGAGCAATAACAGCCATTTCTAATTTGAAAAAGGGTTCACTGTAGTCCACTTAAGTTGAGAAAAAGCTAGTCACTATAAAGGGTTTACCAACAAAAAATTTGAGCTCAATAGGCTTCAAAATTAAAGCAACAAAAGCTTCCAGATATGCTTGTATTATGTAGGTGTTGGTTTATGTGGTGAGCATAAGAGGGTTAGACGAATAAAAGGGATAGCCTCGATAAAAAAAAAATGCATATCGTAAATTAGATAATAGAATATAGGAATAATTCAGCAATAATGATATTGCCAACAAATAAATCATATGCTGATAAAAAATAGCACTAGTATTTAAAACGCTGCTTGGAAGACTAGATAGAATAGTAATGTCATGAAGAGAGCATGAGCAATCTAATAAATCAATATTCACAAGTACACTAGCACAAATTGATAGATTTCTTTTGCTTCAAAATTGTTACACTCACAAAAAATAAAAATAAATAAATAACGATAACACTACCATGAGGTATTTATAGAATGACTTACAATCTCATAATTCTCTCTATTGACAGCCTTATATACAGTTCCACAAGTTCCATCACCGAGCTCTTTCAAAAGTTTATATCTGCACATAAACAGCATAAAGAAAAAATTGAATAACATGGTAAATATTAGCTAATTTTTTCCCGCAATGATTCCAACATGGCATAACACTAACCTGTCCATTATTCTAAAATGAGGACACACCCGTACAAAATTGTCAATGGACCTCTAATAGCCTCCAAACATAACTTTGTTTTGGGACAAAGTCTTTGTTACTTGTTTGTTGATGAAGGTTAGTGTTCAATTGCACCACAATATGAAAAAATTTGTTGAAGACCTGATTCTCATCATATAGATTTACAAAATCCAACGAAAACGCTATCAACATGCTTAGTTTCAGCCCGCAAACTGCTTCAATCAACTGGTACCATCTAAAACCCACCAGCAGGAAAAGAAAAGTTGCTTAAACAAAAAATTGTTTTACTTTACAGAAAAGAAAATACTCCACTTAATAAGTTTCATTTCCATTTACTTCTAATCTTTCCCATACGGGACACCTGCATAATAACACATCGAAATCAGTTAATCAGAGTATATCTATATCCTACTTAAAGCACCCAAAAATAAAAAGCCAATACAATCAAATTAACACGTCATAAGAAGAAACAAAAAGAGCAATTACCCAACAAACGAAAATAGATACCCAATCACACACTCTACAGGAACAAGTATTGTTATGTTACTCAGACTCAGCTAGAAGTTTCAGACATGGATACGTGCCCAAGTGTCAAAATACAAGGATAAAATACAGCCATCATACGAAAAATAAGCGCGATTTTATCCAATATGAAGTGTATCGATCCGGGTACTTGAGGTGAAATGAACAGTCGGTCGGAATAATAGATAATAATAACAACAATATTTAATCCAGAAAATCCAAATCTGTTACAATTATCCCCTCTCTAGGGTAAGAAAAACAAAGAGATCCTACCATATGTTCATCGAAATTCTGGATGTATTTTCACTACCCAACCAGTAAAATCTAATCCAGAAATAATATAACAATATAATTGTATTAATTAATTATAGAATTGTATTTTATTTTCTGGGAATTACAAGAAATATGCAGATTATCAGAGAAAAGCCTAAAAATAAATTAGGGGATCAAACAAACGAAACTCGATGAATTTTACAACTTTCTTTAAATGAAATTGTATTACAAAAAAAAAAAAAAAAAAAAGGCTTAACAAGAACGTAGCAATAACACACTAAACAAGAAAAAGATAATATATTATCACATATATCAATCAATTGAATTTAAAGAATGAAAAATAATGCAATTCTCATTCAAAAAAATAATGCAATTCAAACAGGAAAAACTAAATAAATTTGTATAAAAATTAAAGCTAAAAATCCCCAAATCACATTAACAATCTATATTTAGAAACAAAATTAATCAAGAAAAAAACCTAATTATCAAAAAAACGATTAAGATCGAAACATTGGAGCTTACCCAGAAATCTCACAATTCGCAATTTTAGCCCCAAAAAAAAGAAAATTCAGAGGAAAAAGAATGTGAATATTCGGATCATGAACAATGTACCAGCGATTTCTTCGAAAAGAAGCTGAAGAGATGAGAGAGAAAGTGAGGAGATAGAGACTTGTAAGAGAGATAGAGAGAGAAAGGGGTAAAATTTTAATGGAGTGGCTTAAATTTCACAGAAGAAATTCAAGGAGAAGAAACCAGAGAAATTTATATGGAGTATTTTAAATAAATTTTAAAAATAAATATTGAGAAGAAAAAGATAAAGATAAATAAAGAGATTAAAAATAAATAAATATATTATGAAAATTCTAAAACCCCCCCCCCAAAAAAAAAAATTGTTTTAAAGTTGAGCTACCATCCTACCGGCCCTACCTATGGACATCTATGTATAGTTATATACTATAGATTAAAAGGCGTTTCTAATGTGGTACTTGCAAGATTTGAACCCGCAATTTTAAGTTTAAAACTCCAATGTGTTAGCTATTAAGCTATTACCAAATTACATATCATTCAATATTAATAGAGATTTTATGATGGAAATAACTTAGTAACTCGGGGCATTGTCCGAGCCTAAAACTAGTTAATCTTTTAAAAAAAGGTCTAAATTACCGATCAAATAGAAGTAATTTGTTGTACCTTCTTAAAATAGTCTTTACTCCATCTCTAATTAAGGGTAAATCGGTTAAACTTGTCATGTATTGAATTCTTAGTGATTTGTTTTTAAAAAGCTAAATAAACTCTCATCTTCCCCTCTCTTACCATCGCTGTAACCACCATACCCTAGCCATATATCGATATATTTAAGTTTCCATACCACCTAATGAAAGGAAGATATGTGACATTATTATAAACCGGTCAACCCGATTAAAAATATGTTAACGTCGTTTTGAGAAGAACCCCAAAGTTAAAATTGCCCTAAGTTAATCGATAATTGATATCTATTAAAGATCGGCCATAGTTAGGTTGTTATAGTCAATTATTCCTTCCGTTATAGTAGTAGCTGATGTCTTTGCATTCTTGGCTTAAGCAAGAGACTCCTTGTCTTGGTTGGCTTGCCCCCCCCCCCCAAGCACCCATTTCTCTTGTGCTTTCTTCTTTCTTTTCAACTGGTTATATTTTAAAACTAATATACTACCTCCGTTATAGGTTATGTGCAACGATTAGACATTTTCCTTCTCTGTTTTATGTCAAATCGTTGCAAATAACATGTAACGAAGGTAGTATATAGTTCCTCCATTTCTTAATGGATACATTATTTATGTGGTGAATACATTTTGCTCAATAAAATAGTATTAATATATGGTCAAAATTAGTATAGAAACAATGTGAAAAGGGATGTATTAATAACTTGCTATCTTCATCTGGTAATGTGATATGGTCTGAGTTTCATATGGTATGGTTTAATATGTTCTTATCTAACCTATCTAATGTATTAATTTGACTAAACTTTTTTATATACACCATGCTACAACCTTTTTTTTTATTATTATTATTATTATTATTATTATTATTATTATTATTATTATTATTATTATTATCATTCAAAGGGCGCCGAAACAGGTGGGTCGAACTCATTTGATGATTAAATGAGCAAAAACCTATTTATTTAATTAATAAAATAAGCAAAAATAAATAAATAAATACCGAGTACCTCGAATGTATATAACAACCTTTGCATTTTAACACTAAGGTATAAGAAATAACATTATAACATTAGGTCTTGTAAGATTTGTCTCATTGGATTAATGGATTATGTTTAGCAATGAGTAAATGAGATTTAAAAGTTCAAATTTTATCAAAAAATAATAAAAATAATTTTAAAAAAAAATAAATTGGGTATGATCTAGATATTTTTAGTCTATATCTGATATGATTTTAAGAAAAATAAAGTGACAAGTATTTGAAATAAGGGTCTGTTCACATTTACTGAACTAAACTGATTGGAGCTGAACTGAACTGATTGGATTTGAACTGAAATGAATAGAGCTAAATGAATATTTTATGAGAAAAGGAAATTAGTAGCTGAATTGAACTGAACTAATTGGAGCTGAACTGAACTTAAATTAAGCTGAAGTGAATAGGCGCTAAGTTCAAAAGAAGTGAATGCTACTGGTGGCGCCTAGTTTTTTTTTTTTTTTTTTTTTTTTTTTTTGCCAAACATAGCCTTAATTCTACCAAATGGTTATCATTTTTTAAAAAAATACATGCCGATTACGGAGTGCTCATAGAAAATTAGAAATATATAATGACATTATATACTTCCTAGAACATAATAATAAAGTTTAAATTTTAGAAAATAATTTTTGGTAATTATGAGAATGTTTAGATACCTTTTTTGAGAAAAAATTAAACATTCTAGTTGTTCAATTGATACAGAGTAGTAAAGTTCAACCATGACTCAATGGCTAAGTTTTTATCAAGACTGTATCACTGTATGGCTCTGGGTAAATTACAAGTGAGATTTCCTCATATGGCTTTGGGATTCCATGTATTTATCCACTAGATTCGAACATGCAACTTCTAATTGAAAAACATATTAAAGTGTCTTATCACCGAGCTATGTTATAATTTATATTATTTAAATTTTTTAATGCAAAATATTAATATACAATGAATGACAATATGAATAAACAAATTTAATCACTATAAATTTGACTGTAATGACCCGGAGAATCGATTCTAAAATTACCTAGAATCAGTAGAAAAACTTTAACCACTTGAGCTTATTCATCAATTTCATAATTATTTCTATTAGATATTCAAATTTATCAAATACTTAACATTTTGAATAAAAGAAAAGAATTCCTTCCGAGAAAGGGAAAAATTGGTGTATACTTTATTTTTTTTAATTTTAATTTTGCCTAGAAAAAATAATATAGATATTAGATACTTCTTACTTCTAACTTTCTAAGGGACCCAAAAAATAATAGAAAAAAGAAAAGAAAAATAGAAAAAGGAAAAGGTAGAGTATGAAATCGAAACGGCAAAACACTATTGATTCCTAGTGGTCCCTTAAATAATAGTGGACCTTATTTTATATTTTTGTTTGGCTAATTGAAATATACATAATTTTTTTCTAAAGAAGGAAAAGTAGGAATGGTGAAGTTACTGTAAAACCCCTCTAAAGACTTTATTTCCACTCTTTCAAGGATAAGACAATGGAGAAATCATGGAGCATATCCATTGATTTTGTAAATTTGTACGTGTAATAGTCGCATTATTAGGCATTACACAAAATTTTAAACAAATTATAGATTAGTAAAAATGGAATATAAAAATCCAACCTTTGGCCGGTCTGACAATAAAAATCCAACCTTCCATTAATCTCACAAAAATCCAACCTTTGCCCCCCACCTTCTTTGATAGGTTCATTTGACCTTGAACCTGTTAAACAGGTTAAATTTTTTTCCCCCCTTTTTTTCTTTCTCCTTCCTCCTTCCTTTCTCTTTCCTTTCCCCTCCATGTTTTCCGGTCACCGACCCAAAACCACCCAACCAACACCACCCAACCCCCTCCCCTTCAAAAACCGACCACCTAACCCCCTCCCCTTCTAAAACCGACCACCTAACCCCCTCCCCTTCAAAATCCGACCACCCTAACCCCCTCCCCTTAAAAAGCCGACCACCCTAAGTTGGTAGTGGTGGTAGGGGAATTGGGTGGGGCTTTTTTTTTCTTTTAATTTTAAATGATTAAAAAAATAATTGACCAATTAATAGCTGACACGTGGCATGTAACTTACAAAAACCGGTCATCAACAGGTACTGAATCTGTCAAAGAAGGTGGGGGGCAAAGGTTGGATTTTTGTGAGATTAATGAAAGGTTAGATTTTTATTGTCAAACCGGCCAAAGGTTGGATTTTTAGATTCCATTTTTCCTATAGATTAAGGGTTAAATGGAAATTTCATGATATATAAAGTTAATTGCTAATAAGAGATAGAAATAATGATAAAAAAATTTGCTTCCATAACCTAATTCTTAACCAATCCAACTTTCGAGGATCATCCGCTTTTTATTGATACGCCTGTTCTTTAGAGTTACTCTGCTCTGTCTGTCCTACTTTACTCAGCCCTGCTCCGCAGTGTGTGGAAGCCTAGCCCTGTTATGCTGAAATTTACTTTGCTCTGTTATGCCTTGCCATGCTCTGCTCTACCCTGCTTTGCCCAAAAGTTCAAAAGAACAGGGCCTTGTCTATTGGTAATCGATTTAGTAGTAATAGGTTAAACACACCTATTGTCTTGCTCTTCCCTTTCCCACCCACCTTATCTCTCTTTCCCTCCCCTCTTCTACCCCCTTTCTCTCTGAAGCCCTTCAATGATTTCCGTTAACCCCCTTACCATGACAATTGTCTATATCAGCAGGGGCGAAGCCAGGAATTAAAACCCAAGGGGGCCGAACTTATACGAATAAAATAGTACTCCATATAATATTTTGTACGCTTTTTTCATTGCTAAATAATTGTTTTTGCGTTAATACAATTAACTTTAATTGATCTTATATATTTTTAACTTTTAATCATTGTTATTAATAACTCCGTTTCTTATTACTTGAATCAAATAAATTTTTTATAACTCACACCAAAAGGAATAATACATCTTTTGTTGCAAATAATAAGAAACAAAGGCAATATTAAAGTTATCAACGGTTAAATTTGTATAATATGATGACAAGTTCAAAAGTAAAGTCAAGAAAAATATATACAAGATTGGAATAAAATAGTAAATAGGCAAAATTAATTAAATAAATATTGTAGTGACCAAAGAAAATATATAAGAACTAAGCAAAGAAAGATTAGTATGGAGTACTAAAATAGTCATCATACTACCTCCATCTCCGAAAGAACGACTCATTTGGTCTAATTTTAGTCCCAAAAAATGACCCATTTGCATTAAAACACCCACTAGTTTGCAACAATATTTGTGCAAAATTAGTTTCCCCATGTAAAAAATTTGATTTCCCATGTAATTTTAATACTTTCTTTCTCTATTTTTTTACAAATCCCATGTAAATTTATTTTTTCAATATACATTTACTTCTTTTTATTTAAGTTTCTTAATACCCGCGTAATCAACCCAAATGAGTCGTTCTTTCGGGGACGGAGGGAGTACAATAAAAGATGTACAAAAATTTACCCAAAAAAAAAAAAAGATTAGAAATATAAAAATACGTAGCAAGATTCGAACTGGGGGTCATCTAGTATTGCAGCATGCATAAATTACCACAGAGCTATATCTTTCTATGTACCATTAAAGGAAACATTTATTATTTAACCTAATTTTTAAGGGGGCCATCAG